CGCGCCCCCTGAGCTGCATCCGGGCACCTACCAACTAACTCCTCCACCATCCACATGCAACCACCTCTTCCGCCGCCCGCCAACGAATACGACTTAATCCCCGAACGCTGGGAGTCGTGACCCAGAACATCTGGTAAACTGCCAGGCGGCATCGACGACACTCGCCGCGAAATAGCGATAGCGGAGATGCAGAGCAACAGCCGAGCCGAGCCTTGTTTTAGTAAAATTTTAGCCGAGCCCAAAATTTCAGTCCTTCCCCCAACCCAAAGCTTTTCTGGTTGCTAAGTTGAAGGTGATTGACAAGTTCACTCGCTTTCGAACACCCACACACATTGACGACCTCTCGACGATATGCGTTTTTGCTTGCTGCAGCAGCGCTATATCACTGCACAACAAAAATACATAATGAAGTTATTGAATACACAGAATGAATTCAGAAAGGCAAAAAATCCGAACAAATAAACATTACCTTTTTGATTATAGCTTGTTGAAGTGGCTGCACTTGCAGGAAGCGCCTCATGTGATAGAATAGGTTTTGCAAATAAGCTGGAAACTGGAAGTTCACTACGCAGTCTTCTGGCTACTTCTTTTGCTGAAAACAATTAGCGCTCCTTAGTGCACTTCTAGCTACACATGCATGTATTCTTGAATACTTGGTCAACACTCAAAATCCTCTCCGTATTCGTTTTCAGTGACAGGCGGAGAAATTGGGAAGTAGCCAAACAGCAACCACTCGCTGGCAAGGATGTCAGTGATTTCTCCTTTTGAGATTGCTTAGAAGCAAGCTGATGGCATGTTTTACTCCTTGGCAAATGTCGGTACCAATCTATCATCAAAACGAGTCGTAGACGGATTGGTTGTCCTACCGGCAGAGCCGGGCCTTCAATCTACTGCACAACAACAGTGCTACCCCAACATGCCATGCATGCCGGCGATACTTAGTAACTAAGCTACTAACTAAGCTACTAAGCTACTAGCTAAGGAGCGGAAAAAAAAACTATTTTCCATTTGATTTTTTAAAAAGCTGCTAAATTCGTCTTTTTTACCAAATCTAATTTTTTCTTGTTCTAGTTATGTCGCTGTTCATTCTTAGCAAGAAGTATCTATCCGCTCACTTATAATTTATTGTATAATATAGGAAACAAGTGGACGAGCTGTAATTCACAGTCTAGTCTTCAGAGTGTACAAATGGCAATTATACCATTGGTTTAACCAATGTTGCATCACCTGATGATTAGCCTGCCAGTAATTCTAACATGCTTCCTAGGACTCCAACTCTTCGGCTGTTTCGAGAACGCAGATCGCTACCTCATCCCGAGCGTTCGCACTTCTAAGGTACGACGCCTATGCATAATATATACTGGAGTGCATGACGCAGTGGCAAATAACACTGTTCCTGTGCAGAAGGTCAAACGTATGACTCCGCTAGTGAAATTACCAATCTTTACGATTTGTTTGTTCATTCAGATGGTAAACTGACACCAAAATATGCCAGAAAGTTACACCCATCATTAGCTTGCTTCTAAGCAACCCTCAAAAGAGGAAGCCTTTGGGAGCCTTGCCAGCGTATGGCTGTTGCCACCACTCAGGTCATTTC